TTCTAGCTAAATCAGAATACTCACAGTCTTAGGTGATATTCTTGCTACATAAAGACAAGAAGGATGGAGTTACTCCATTAAACGGACAGTCAACATGAAAACTGCAGTTTTAATGTACTGAAGTTACAAAATGACTATAAATGGAAGAGAGGAGAATACGTTTCTCTATTCTGTTTATTTTGCTGACTTGCAACATTGAATAAACATCAGGAGGAAAATTGTGGTAGTACTCAGCTCATCAAGCAAAATGGAACTTTCTATCTTAAGGGTAAAGCTTATGTGTGAAGGAGACAGCTTCCTTGGGTGCTGGTATGAGACTGTGAAAGGAACTCTACAGGAAGTAAGGACCATCAAACCTCACTACGCTGACTCTACTCCTCCTCGTCCTCCTCACACTCTCTGTCACAGGGCCAGAAAGGGTTACACAGCTAGCAGGCTAATTGACCCAGATTCAACCTTTATAGACATATTAGTAGATGACAGTTATGTTTTTGTGTGTTTACATGTATATTGTTAGGGGTTAACAATGTAACCAAATAGTTCCTGTCTATCGCTGTATTCTGTTAATTCAGAGATCAAAAGAAGATATTAACATTTAAACAAACTGTGATTGTAGTGATATCACTGTCTTCATTTCTCTTTGAAGTATGTAGCAAATCACATATAAATGGCTGGAGATAGGCAATTGCCTTATGTTAATCCATGTAGCTAATTACTGGTGATTTTTAGGAAATAAGAAGTTACTTCAAAGACACTACTGTCCACCCCAAGGACTGCATCCTGTCAAGAGGCTGCCAGTAATCTCTATAAAAAACTCTTGGGACCTGATCCTTTCATCTCAAATCCGTTTATGCTTCACCAAGGGAAGCTTGAGCCACAAGATTGAGGTCTCCAGTTCCATTCTGGTTTGCCCTGTGTGACAGGGTCAGGCCAGATGGCTACCGGAGAGTAATAGAAGCCAGATATATTAGTCCCAGGTTAAGTAGGTCCCTTTTCCCTGGTAAGGTAACAGGAAAGGTTCCAGAATAATCAGGATCCTTCTGAAGACAATTAAGACAGGCTGATTAGAACACCTGCAGCCAATCAAGAAGCTGCTAGAATCAATTAAGGCAGGCTAATCAGGGCACCTGGGTTTAAATTCAGTTTGTGGTGCATGTATGAGGAGCTGGGAGCAAGAGGTACTAGGAGCTGAGAGTGAGAACGCGGACTGTTGGAGGACTGAGGAGTACAGGCATTATCAGACACCAGGAGGAAGGTCCTATGGTGAGAATAAAGAAGGGGTTGAGAGGAGGGCATGGGGAAGTAGCCCAGGGAGTTGTAGGTGTCGCACAGCTGTTCCAGGAGGCACTCTAGACAGCTGCATTCCATAGGGCTCTGGGCTGGAACCCGGAGTATAGGGCGGGCCCAGGTTCCCTCCAAACCTCCCAACTCCTGGTCAGACACAGGAGGAGTTGACCTGGACTGTGGGTTCACGAAAACAGCCAAACTGAGGGCTGCCGTGAAGCTCCAAGGCGAGCAAATCCGCCAATAAGCACAAGACCCACCAAGGCAGAGGAGGAACTTTGTCACACCTGATATTGGAACATTACACTGAACCTGTGGAATAATTTTGAAAGAACTCTTTGCAACGCTAAAGCTCACCAGCTCTACTATGAAACTGACCTAAGGACTCTATTCATGTCTGTATGTATAATGATCTTCTAACCCATACTCACTCTCTCTTCTTTTTTAATAAATGTTAGTTTCGTTAATAAGACTGGACTATAAGTGTGTATTTGGGTAAGATCTGAAATATTCATTAACCTGGTGGATAATGTGTCCGATCCTTTGGGATCTGTAGAACTTTTTATATGATGAACATGATTTTCAATAATCCTCATAATATTTGACTTGGCTGTCTGGGTGTGAGCCCGAAGTCTTGGCTGCTTTAAGGGAACTGTTTTTGGCTTCTGGGTAACTGATAAGGTATTGCAGAAGCTGTTTTGTTGCTGGCTTGGTGAATCTAAGTATTGGAATAATCACCAGTTTTGGGAGATTGTCTGCCTCATTCTTTGCAGTTTGCCCTAACTGAGCAATCTCAGCATGGCCCCCCTGGGACTCCAGTCACATCCTCCAAGTCCAAGGTGAACTTCTGACCTTGCCTTCTCCAACATATTCACACAGCAGCCTGTACATTAAAACAAGAAACCCAATACAAAACCCTACCAAAGCAAAACACTACCATTTTGGATGAGAGAGTGAAACATACATGAAAGATGTTAGTCACATCACTTATTGCACTACTGGAAGACACTCAGATACTATGCTGATGAGAGTGGTGTGATACCCTCTATAGACCAGAATTATACCTCAGAACACAGGAAAACAAAGACTAAATAGCTAGAGTTCACAAATATGAAAATACTGTGGTGACTAGCAACAATACAGAACCATAATATGAAATACATTGATGTATCATGGGAAGTCTAGCAAGACAGAAAGGGAAAACAGGATAGTTGATAGGAATAACTCATGGTACCTTAAACATTCAAACTTTAAAAAGTTAGAGCTTCTGAAACAACACAAACACAAAACAAAAACAAAACCAGTCATGATAAAAATATATAAAATGGTAGAAGAACCTCCTGATGGAGATTTTAGATAAAAATAAGACTCTTCTGGGGAGGGGAAGGACGCTCTATGAAGCATTTACATCAGAAACAATAAAGAGGACTTGACAAGGATGTTAGACCTGAAATTAGATTCACTAGTCATATTTTAGCTTGCAGGAATTTCTTGAATGTAATGAAAGCATGCCATACTGCCACTCCTCTGTCTTGTGTACAGTTTATTCTGTTGGCCAACGTTTTTTAACAGTCTCGTGTAGACAAGTAGCACAACATTTAACATGTGCTAAGCTTGTTAAATTAAAGCTTATGGGCTTTAACTCAGTCAGCTTAGTACATGCTGAAATACATTCTACCTTGTCAAACACATTAGTTAGAACATGTTGGCTAACTCATACAAACACACACCTCTTGCCCTTGTCTAGACAAGGCCTATACGCAAATTCAGTTGTTAGTCCTCTTGTATTAAATTCCCCAAATATATCAATCTCCTTGTTGTGCAACATTTAACATTTTTCCTTGTGGAGCAAGAAGTTGTGACTTGTATGAGAGAGGAGGAATCCCTGCTTCTCACTTGGTTGCAACTGCTGCCATAAGGGAGTAAGAGAACCTGGGCCAGTCTTGCTACATCTCCCCATTTGGAGCCAGATTCTGCCACCTTTACTCACCTTACTTTGTAAGTAGTCATGACTACTTCATGTGTCAGAAGCTACTCAGTGTAAGTCAGAATGTCAAAATGTGAATGCAAGACTGATATGGCCTTCAAGACTTCCCCACACAAACAGCTACCAGTATCGCCACAACTGCAAGGAGTCGGGATCCTTTATTTTCCATTCACCACCAAAAATTTTAGACATGACTTGCATTTTCCATATTGTTCTGTATACAGTAGCTCATGTTACCTGAAGAAAGTAACTACAATTCTCTTTAAGCCACCAAAAACTGCTCATAACTTGATACAACATATTCCTAACACAACAAGCCAGGCTTCTCCAAACAGCCCACTTCTATGCTCATATCACAACCCAAAAGGGGATGGGGTGGGGGGGAGGTTGTGAACCTGCTGTAGAGGGGTCATGGGATTGCCACCCTCACTTCTGTGCTGCCTTCAGAGCTAGACTCTGAAGGTAGCAACCACAGAGCTTCCTGCAGCCACAGGAGGTTCCTGGAGGTGGAGGTGGGTCTGATCTCCTCCCCTGCCCCCAGAGCAGCTGTGCAGGGGAAGGACAAGTCCTGTCCCTCCCCAGCCCAGCTAGAGCTAGGAGCCCCCTTTGCTGGGGTGCTCCTAAGAACAAGTGGACATCGGATTTCAAGGTCTGTGACGCATTTTTCACAGCCATGAAATTGGTAGGGCCCTACTCATATCCCAGCATGTTAAAGACATATGGACTGGAACACTGGTTTAGCTGAGAACCTTCATCAACAGAATCAAGAGAGTTAATGCCTCCTAAATCTCTTTAAGTTACTCTGTTAACAAGCTACATTCATTTAAGTACAATTGTGTGTCCTGCAATGTGCTACCTATATTCTTTTCTTGTTAAACCTCTAATTTCTAGGCCACTTAAGCAGACAAACTAGGAAATTTTAAATTTAGTTTATCTTGCTAATACATATAGGTCTAAACTGGAATGCTGAGCAGCAACTAATTCTAATACACAAAAGAGTAAATTTAAGTTGTTTCACAGTGCTCACAACATTTCTATGAGTTTTCTTCACGCTCACAGTACTGGACCTCCATGCTCCCACCCATGAAACAGCTTCCCTAACAGAATTAAAAATTAGCTGAAGTGATCATAAAAATAAAAGCCACTATCTTTGGTGATGCAAAACCCACTGCATACCCTAGAGACAGGTTCTTTCAGTTGCCTTAAATGTTTATCTTTAGTTCTTCTGTTGAAAGATGCTAAAAGTACTAAACCAAGATCTGCTATCCTAAATCAAGCAAAGAATTTTAAGGAACAGAAGAGTGTTCTGAGAATATTTTATAAGCTAAATTCAGTTACGTATAAGGCTAATTGTGGAAGCATCCACTAACAGTCATTCTCACACCTAAACCAAAATCTAATAAAGAATTATTAAGTTTAGCAAACCATGTTACAGTTATCATTAATTATTACAAAGTTTATTAATATGCCATTTTGAAACAGAATGTCAATGAAGTAATGTCTATCACCTATGCAACCTCTGTTCCACAATGCAATACAACTATTCACCTTAACATGATCTCATGACTGTCAGAAGAAACAAATTAGCTTTACATTTATACAGCACCTTCCTAAAATGATCCAAAAGCGCTGAAAAATATGCAAAATATCATCCACCCTGTATAGCATTGGGCTATATGGCAATAACACGTTCACTTGGTTTAATTCCTGAATTAAAAGTAAGAAGTACCTCTAGTTCGATTAGTGCCGCAGTCACTGCATCAGTTGCAAGAGCACCAGCCTGTAGTTTTTCAATTGCCTGTAAAACAGAATTTTTAGTTGATGATTTTGCATTTAATTATTATATGGCTAGTTCTAATGATTTTCTTGGCACTGAGTGAGACAGAATCCCCACCACAAGAATATTCAGTCTAAGGCTTTGTCTACACTATACAGCTTATCGCGACACAGCCATGTCGCTAAAAGTCGGGCAGCGTAGCCACTGTTTGTTGGCACTTTTGCCGAGAAAAGACTTCCACCCTGAACAAGCGGCATTCACGTTGTCGACGGGAGAGTGCTCCTGCCGACAACACACTGTTCACACTGACACCTGCTACAGCAAAACTTTTGTTTTTCGGGGGAGGGAGGGAGGAGGTTAGCACCTCTGAATGACAAAAGTTGTGTTGCTCAATTGCCAGTGTAGACATAGACTAAGAGGACAAATAAGACAAAAGGCACTGTGAGAGAAGAAATCTCTCTTTACAAGAGTTGATATTATTGTTCTGGCATCATGAAACCACACTGCACTTGGCAAAAAAAATGGACGGTTGAATCTGATAGTAACATATGTCTCCCCCACACTTGAACTAATGACAGGGCTCTGACACCAAAAAAACCAACCCTAAACTACATCGTGTCATATTGAGTTGCTGCCATTAAAATGATTAGTTGTACCATTGAGTAAGTTGGTCCAGATGTCAGCAACACACACAGTTGAAAGGATTAGATTTTTAATCATTAAATGTCAGTAAACATTGATTTCACCATATATACACCAACTGACGAAAATATTTCCATCAATGATAATTGAAATTTACAGAAAGCACAGTAAGAAAAATGTTGCTTGAGAACTTATCAGAGTTTGATTTAAGGATATTTATTTTGTATATTTTGACATGTGATGTTGACAATTTACAAAGCTTTAATTTTTTCAATCTCTCCATCTACTGTCATTAAATAATTATCTGACCCGCCACTGACTTCCTGACATTGTGAAAATTTAAATCTATTAAAAACATTAAAATGCTTAAAAATAATCATTTTTGAAATTATAAAAAATAAAACTCAAACTCTGCCAAGCCTAGCAACATAAATGCAAAATAAACAAGTGATGATCTTTGTTCAAGTTTGGCACTAAAAAGATATAAACTTTTGGAGCCATGTAGTAATTTCCCAGATCCATGCTGTACAAAAACCTAGAACAAACTTCTGGTCACAGCAAATTCCCTCAGTGAACTCACAAGAACTAATGAGGGCTGCATTCTTAGGGCATTTCTACACTTACCGTAGATAGATGCTGCGGCGACCGATCCATCGGAGGTCGATTTAGCAGGTTTAGTGAAGACTTGCTAAATCGACCGCTGATCACTCTCCCGTCAACCCTGGTACTCCACCAGAATGAGAAGCATAAGGTTCGTCAACAGGAGAATTTCTCCCATCGACCCAGTGCGGTATAGACATCACAATAAGTCAACCTAAGCTACATAACTTAGGTCGACTTAACCCCATTGCGTAGACCTGCCCTTAGTTGCAGCACAAATCTTATGCTGTTTATTCTTACTCAAATATTATGTTGGCTACCTAGCTCAAGGAACCAAATGGAATACCAAGTTACCATTAGCATTATCCTCAACAGCAAGCAAATTTACAACTCAGGCAAGTAAGTGGAAAAGTAGCGTCACAAAACAGAGATACCAGGTAGGGCTGAAGTTCAGTGTTAAACTATTCAAACTGTTAGTTACAAAGTGAGATTGGTATTTGGAGATGAGGGGTGGGATTTTCTAATAAGCCTATAAGATTTAGACACCCAACTCCTTCAGACTCCCCTGAAAAAGTAAGCTATATAAATCTTCCATCAAAGCACTGAGAATTACTTTTTAATGGAGATGTTACCATACAATAAGGGAGAAGTGATTTTATATCGGCAAGTATTCAGATATGTTGCAAGTTACTTCCAATTTCAACAGTCTTTTTTCAAAAGAATCCGATAATCTCCACACCAGCAATAATCTATAAAACATTTAATATATAGGCCAAAGGTAAATGTAGTTTTCTATATATCAAGTTACCTAGACCTCAAGATTCCCATTTGAATGGTTATGTTAAAATCAAATCTAAGTCAAATTGTAAACACACAGCATTTCATTAAACAAGCATTAAGTTACACGAGAGAAAAAACATTAATCCAATTAGCCCCATCAAATATTAAAGATTTGTAAATTTTAAGATGATAATTTTTTAGAAACTAGAATAAATTGAATAAACTTAAGCATGAGCAGATTTGGTCAAAAAATTTCCAATGGAAGATACTGACTTGACAGAACCAAGATATTCCACAGCAATGTGCTCGTTCTATCAAAAATGTTGACAAAAGCTAAGCAGACCAGCCAGTTGGGGCCCTCAGGGAGGAAGCTGAATTCCATTTCATTTCGCCGGCAATGGAGTTTTACAGTTTTGTCTCCGGTGAAAAATCTAGTTTTTGAGGTTTCATAATCTCAATTTCAGATGAAAATCTTCAAAAATTTGGAATTTTTTGCAAGACAGAAATTTCCATTTTGCAACCAGCTCTATAAACAGGCTGTATGCTAGAACTTTAGATGTATTGGAAATAGCAACAAGTGAACAACTGACTTTAGTAGATTTAGTGATTATGTCCTCTAACAGTGGTAGCTTTGGCAAAGGTCTAACTGTAAGAGTCCTCAATGCATATTTTTATTTCACACACTGTATAATTCATATGCAGCACAAGTCTTACTGCCTTTACTATCAGACACCAGGACCAGTTTGACAACACTTCGTCTAAAACACAAAAGTAGACAAAGTTACAGATAGCATGAGCAGATGCACTGCCACCTAAACTTGTTCTCATTCACACACTTACTGAATTGAAATCAATACATCTATTCTTTAACAATATCCAATTTGCAGCTGTTCAACTAATCAAGAGACAAATTACATTCACTTATCCTTCCACTTCTGTCCCAAACTTAACGGGAAGAATTAATAAATTCTTCTCATGTTCTATTCCAAATTCTGCCATAGACATGCTGTAATATCTTGGCCAAATGACAGTTTCTGATGTCCTTATGGAGAAAAGCAATAAAATCACTACAAAATCACCATTTAAATATCCAGGTCAGTCAGATGTCCATAGGTGGATGGATGTTCCATAAATAAGCTGTTGACTCAGGCCACACATATTAGGTGTATATCTTCCTGACCAGTGAGTGCCAGCCAGCCTTCAAGCAGCAAGAAGAGATACCACAGAAACATGATTTGGAATCATGATATGAAATGAAAAAAACACAATTTGTATGTGTACCTGGAGCAAGCCCTGGAACCATAATTGTTGCATGAGCAGAGAACCACCACTCTTTTCTTTTAATAATCCTCAAGTATTGCAGCCCTCTGAAGGAGAGAGAATGTGTATGTAGTTTCTGTGCAAGTGAAATAGGTATAGAGCAAACCATAATCCTTTGGGGGATTATGCAATACTGTTTATTGATCTGTTATTCAAATCACACTTCTCTTAAAGTTTTTACCATTCTTCCCTTATGAAGTGCACAGTTGTTTCTGTTTTTTTATTGCTATTTCTTTTTTGTCCACAGAAATGTAAACTCTTCAGAGCACAATTGTATCCAGGGGATAGTGTTAATGAATCCCAAAATAAACACTTCATGAAAACACACTTATGCACTTCTGAATAATATCCAAAACGCTCACAAAACAGATCAAAACTTTAGAGACTAGACCCAAAATCCTTTCATAAATTGAACTCTAGTAAACTCAGATTTGTTAGAAGCCTGTTGATCCTCTAAAGAAAAAAGTTTGGAACCGGGGAAGTCATACCTTCTGACAGGCTCTTTTGCAAACATGTTTGTATTCTTTAGCTTTGGATTCAGAATGATAACCTGCACCTATTATTAAAGACAGAAAAACAAAGTTAAGTACAGCTTATGGTAAGCAGTCAAACTAATATACTGGGACAGTGTTTTCACCAGGAATTACAATATAGGCTGACAACAGCATCTTAACTCAGATGTACATAACTCCATGTCATTTTGTAAAACAGAGACTACTGATCTATTTCCATCACAGATTAACACTTTCAAGCATTTCAAAATTAATCTAGAATAGCCACTGACAGTTATCTACACTACTGATGTAAGTGGAGAGGTACAACTTCCAGTATTTTACGTAAATATTCTGACCCTCTAAATATTCATTGGGAGATTCCAGTTTTGCCTATTCCTGGAGAGTTTCAGACATGACAGTTGTCACTATGTTAAGCCACCAAAAAAAATATTGCTATGGTTTTAAGGGTCATGCTCCACTTTTTCTTTTGTATCTTTGATCACGTGAGGTGGCCCTCCTTCCACTTTGATCCCTGCACTAGCTTTTTTTTTTTTTTTTTTTTTTTTTTTTAAACTACTGCTTCTGCTCTGTGACTGCAAGACCCAGTTTCTTGAGAAAGATTACATGGAATATGTCTCTACTACTCTCATTTTCAATCTCCATTTTGTTCCTGTTCCTTGCCTCCCCAAACTGACTCCAAGCATCTCTCCACCCTTACCCTAACCTTATGCCACTCTTTCCTGCCTCCACAGGTCTAGAAAACCACTACAAGTACTATCAGCAACAGAAGCCATAGTCTTAGAGTAATTTAACATTTATTTCTAGCAAACTGCCTTTTTCTTTCTTTTTGTTACTTGTGATATTCATCCCAGCTCCCTCTTCCTCATCTTCAGTGTTGTCTGCGCTTAAGCTTCTTTTAAACAATCAGTTTAGTTTATCAGAAACTAAACTAACACCAATAGTGGAGAAAATACACCATAAGCAACAGCATATTAAACACATCCATTTATTCTTAAAACAGTACAAGCAGGGTTTTTAAACACTGACTCAGAGCAAGGTGTCCTGTACATATTTGCTCACCTTAAAGGTCTTATTCTTTTAAAAAACACACATTACAACCTTTAGCTCCTTGGGCATTTTAAGCATCACCAGGCTGCTTTAATCAGCTGCAGTTGTAAGACTGTAGGCTCTTTGGGGCAGGATAATTCTTTGTTCCATGTTCCTATGGTGCCTATTATAATGGGGTCCTGGTCCCGAACTGGGGCTACTAGGAGCCATGGTGATACAAATAATTCACTTCCCACTATAGTCCAGAAACAAATGTTAAAGACGAACCTGCCACTATATTTAACAAGATTCCTTGTAGTATCAAGGAAATAAATGTATTATTTTCTCTAGAACGTTAACTATACTAGAAGTTTTTGGAACCTTAATTTCCCAATGGATGCAGCATCAATCAAGGTGGAAGGGACAATTGGTATAACTGCAAACGTAGGTAATTTACAAGTCTGAAAAATCTTGGTGTACATAAATCTAGTGTTTCCTCAGGCCAAACACCCTAAAGTGCTCCTTGTGCTGTGACCCAAAGAGTCATCCCATTATCCAACATATTCTACCATCTCTTGTAGCCACAAAGCATTGTGGGATTAGGGTCACAGAAGAAACAGTAAGAAGTTTCTGGGTGCTGTGAGGGCAGCTGGCTGAAGGGACTGGTGCTGGTGTGGAGGACACCATGCGTAAACTGCAGAGTGCTCAGCTCTGAGGCAGCACAGCTGCAAGAGTCTATGAAGCTGAAGACACAGCCCCTTTAAGCATTGCCTTTCCAGCCTGAATTAGAATACTGAGCATGTGATGGGAAAAGGGAGCTGCTTTGTAACTTGGTGATGGGCAGGAAGATGTACAACAGGATTGAAACCAGGAGTCACAGCAGCAGCAAGGTAAAGAGAGAGGACCAAGGAGCAAACTGCTCCCTTTCTCCACTGTCTAAATATCCATAGGGTCCTAACATCGCATAATTTAGCTGCTCTCTCAGACAACATGATATGACCCAGCTGATGCCCCCTTGCAATCCATCAATTGAGTAGTGCTGACAAAACATGGTAGAAACTAAGTGCACAAGACACGTCACGTAGCTTTTCCCCACAGCCCAATGCCAGCCCTCCATGTATGGACTGTGAAATTGCAGAGTTATCTCCTCCTCAAACACAGGTTATATCATCACATGGATAAGTGCCAACAAACCGGCCTGAAACCCACTGCATGCTGGATGACAGAAAATTGGGAAATGTTCCTTCCATCTTTGACTATCCCAAAACAGGCCCCTGTTCTCCAAACCCACCCTAACTTAAATTCAGCAAACATGTAGGAAAGAAGGAGGACTGCACTGAGCCAGAAGTACTGGCATGCTACACATTTGCACATTTTTAAGAGTAGCTAAACAGCTTTTGTTCAAGCTTAGCAAAAAGGCACTGAAGAGTTCTCTCTTGTACCAAAACCAAGCATGGGAAGTCAGGTCAAAAAGAAATTTAAGTTATAAGCAACCACTAAAAAGGAAGGGTTATAATTGAAGCTCTCTTCTTCAATTACAGTGCTCATGGCTTTCCATATTGTAGGAGGTAGGTCATGTTTTAATTCCGGTCCATCATTACCCCTCACAGACTAGCCTGATGCTCTAGTCCCCCACCCTATTCCTGAGGAAATAGCTCAGCTTCACACAGCCCGACCACCTGCAAAACCCCCACTCGGGTATCCAGAATAGGTAGGTTACTGAGGACTGGTTGAGACTCCTAAATGGATTTCAGAGAGTGTTCCGAGAGACTTAGAACCTTCTTGAGGCATACATTAAAATCTGATACAGATGGCATGCACTCTTCCTTTCACTGAAAGGGAGAAATGACTTTGAGGGGTCTCTGTGCACATGAATCCTGGAGGACAATCCAGGCCATCACGTTAGCATTAGAACTCTCACTCACAGCAGAAACAGCCACAGAGGTTTGCATAACTCACTTAGGATTTTATTACAAATTTTAAAAAACCACCTCAGTTCTCAACTTCTGGAATCTTACCTGCATGTACAAGCACAAATCCCACTCGTTTCCCTTTTTGGATCGATTTTGTTTCATGCTCCTTCACTATCACCTTCACGGCAGTAACCTGGGATGATTTGGAAGGTAACACTTCTACTGAACTCATCCCCTTCTCCATGATCATACTCCAGGGTCACCATCTTCTACCGGAAAGAGAGCATGCTTTCATCCAAAAGTAAACTCTGGAGAGGATTCACCCTAAGGTAAAACCATATGTAAATGTTACGTAATTTTTTCCACTGAACACAGTTCAGGCAAATTTATGCAAAAAGCATTTTATGAAAAACAGCAGAAGATTCATGTTAAAGTTAGGTTGTTTTTTCCACTTAAGCAGGGATCGAGTTTTGCATCTTCCATTTTACAGCTCATAACGGGAGTAAAAACGGACTTTTCCAGGTATTTATATAAATTACTTAGGAGGCTCTAAGTTTACTTTGAGTCTACAATTTTTCTAGCCCATCTAAGCTACTGATTTGAGATTTGAAGTTTAACTATGGTAAATTTTAGCAAAGGGAAAGTTACTTTAAGTTTATGATCTTTTTATTTGACATTACATCCATAACGTATCTGTTCTGATTATGATCATCAAATCTGTGCGGCACTGATGGTCCAGAATCTCAACCTTTGCTTTTTAAGGAAGTGTTTCCAGCACTTACAGTTGTGAAGAAAATATTAGACAGAAAACAAAACATGCTCTTTATAGTTATCAGGAGTTCAATTAATAAAAACCAGGACTTTGTCAAAGTTCCCAGCTGCTAAGCTGATGAGGCATTTTCATAAAGAAACTGTGTCATGAAATGAAGAGCTGCTGCTGCTGCGATCCTTTCAAAAATCAAAGGACTGGAAAAATTGATAAAGTGTTGCATAACAATGAAGGTTGCTACATAACATGCCTGACAAAGCCTCAAAAGAACAGTAGATACCCTCTTTTCTTCCACCCAAAGACCCAGACTTCACTAATACCATATCCACCAAACACCATAGCCTCAAGTCGGCCCTGATAGTGTTGTGGCACCCTTTCAGCAACTCCTTTCACAAACCTGGGCGTGGTTTCCCAGAAGTGGACAGCAAAGGAGAGTCAGAAGAAGAGTCTCGTCTCTGGTGGTGGGAGTTTAGGGAAGAGGATGTTGGAAGACTGGCATTCCGACTAACGCAGAGATATGGTTGAGATGCATTGTCTGTGGTATGTGGCATCTCTAGAGGCAAGACTAAACGATATATACTGTCAGACTGCGTACTCTTTTCTGACTTTTTGAGGTTGCATCAGGTATGTGATCGATACAGCAGTCTTAACAGACACACAGATACCAAGTTGTGTATCAAATAAATATATTTGTGTTTCTCCTTAAGGTATTATACAATGAAAGGGCTTGCATACAGTGCAGTGGTAGCCATACAGAAAGGTAAGAAAATGCAATTTACTTGTAAACAGAAAGTTATGGTAAAAAGTGTAACTGTGTTACCAAAAAAGGATGGATGTACTGTTCAGTGAAGTGAGTGCTCCCAAAAACTAGTAATTTAAAGATGCCACAATAAAAATTTTCCATCTTTTATCCTCAGTTATATTCCATGAAAACTTCTTATTCCTAGGAGGCCAAGATACAAACAAGGTTTTTAAAAAACCATGACAGCAAGAGGAGCCACCACAGTTAATCCACATAGTGTGCACAGCGATGGTACTGTAGCTATGCTGGTATAATCCCATAGGGTAGACACAGTCACAGACACAATGACCAAAGGGATTTTTCCCATGGGTGCAGCAACACCACCTCCCCAAGCAATGGTAGCTAGATTGACAGAAGCATTCTTCCATTGACCTAGCTGTGCTTACACTGGGTGTTAGGTCAGCATAGCTACCTCAGTCAGAGATGTGGATTTTTCACACTCCCGTGCAATGTAGCTAGGTTGACTTCAATTTTAAGTGTAGACCAAGCCTTAGTCATCAGTGTTCAGCAGGATCTCTAGGTTCACCTAGTTTGGAAGAACCGAGTGTTGGTAACTTTTTGCAATTTCAGAAGATGAATAAAGTTTTGATGATTACAGAATGATTATGGAAAATTTAAACTGGTGGTCTAGTACCTAATGTATGAAGTACAAGCTTCCACTGACAGCAGGAAGTAGTTTTCAGAAGTCAGGCACAGAACATCAAAGCTAATCAACACTTATGGCTTTACATCTGCAAAGCACTGTACACATCAATCAAGAGGCAACATCTCTCAATTTAATTTAAAACAGTGGGTAGTTCAAAAGGTGGAGGGTATATTTAGTATATGCAACAAAGCTATTTCTGTACACATAATTCAGATGAACTTGCAGCTTTGGAACAGGAGTGGAAAGTATAACAGCAGCTCAATATGATGTATGTATACAGCTCATATTGACATTGGGACTAATTGCAGCCTACATACTACTAAAGTGAATAAAGATGGCAGAATCAGGTGGGGGGAGGGGCTCAGCAGAGGGGTCCGGATGCTGGGGCAGCAGGGCTTGGGGGGATGGGGACTCCAGGTGCAGCAGGTTGGGGCTCAGTGGGATGGGAGTCCGGGAGACTCGTTGGGGGCAGACTGGGTGCAGTGGGTGGGACTCATCAGGGTGGGGGTTTGATGGGTCTGCTTAATGGGGGAGCCGCAGCTGCTGCTGCGGAGGGGATGCCGCATGCCAGGCTTCCGCTTCCCTCCCCCATTCCCCTATTCCATCCCCATCCCATTCCCCTTCCTCTCCCCTGCTCCTCATTCCCACATCCCTCTCCCCACCCTATCCCACACCCCTTCCTTTCCCCGTGGCCCCCGCCCACAAACTACACCCATGGGCATCCCCAGCCCCACAGTGATTTACCTCTCTGCCAGCTTGCTCTGGGTGACGGAAACAAAGCGCCTGTGCTGCCGGGGAGAGGAGACAACTCTTCCATTTTCCTTTGCTTCCCCATCATTTTCTGCAGGGAAGCAAAGAAATCTGCGGGGGATATGAATTCTGTGTGGTGCAGAATTCCCTCAGAAGTAATAATATTTATATAAGCAATTCTATAGCTTAATACATATTTCATATTCTTAATTTTTACACTAAAGAATGGTGATTTATGCATTTCTTATTTACTAGATTAATTTTTCCTCATGATTTGTGTCAAGCTTTATTAGGATAAAACTACAGTTCAACTGAAAATGCACAAAAACCACAACTAATTCCTTTATTAGTTAAATAAAACTACCTTGGTTATGCTGGATATATAAGAAAAAAGTAAGTTGATCAAAACACGTTCTACATTTAAAACTAATTGATTTATTAAACAAAGGAAATATTACCTGTAACTAGTGGATTTAATTGATTGTTTCTGGTCACAATGACCTTCAAGATTTTTGATCTCATTGTCTGACACCTAGTTTTTATTCATATAGTGGAACAGGAAAACAAGCTTTCCTGCTTTTTCAACTGCCACTGGCTTCTTGAAACTTTGAATAAACTAGCCATTGAACTGACCTGGTTGAATAAACTGAAAAGAAAATATTCTCTCTGCACCTGTAGAAAAGGCTACTGCTGTCAAAAACTGGATTAGCACTTCAACATACTCCCATTCCAGGTGCTTATTGAAAGACTTCCACCAATACAGAAGTTTGATTTTCTTTAAACTTCAGCAGCAAACATTTACGGATTCATATTTTTATTCAATTGATTAATACATTATAATACATTCAGGCCTTAACATAAATTTATTTAAAATTGATAACCTATGTTAATTTTTTTGCTTAAATAATCATTTATTTAACCAATAGTTGGAGTATCCCAGTCATTTCAGTGGAACTTCCGTGTAAATTTTCATACTGCTTCCTAAGCTTTGTTAAATATTTAGAAAAAAAAAAAAAAACCAACCTTATGGCACTGCTAATTAGAAATGGTTTAAATAATTTAAAGTATTTTTACTGCATCAGAATACTGTTATATAATAATATATTCATCCAGATACTAAGTATTAAAGATACACAGCTCACACCATCCTCAGAGGTAGATATTTCCCTTTTACAAACAGGCAGAGGTTCAGCGAGGTTAAGCAGTTAGCCAAGTACACAGCAATTCAGTAATGCTGTGGTCCCAACTCCAACAACTAGCCAGCACTAATGCATTTAAAATTGCCAAATTGTGGGTTTAAGAAGAGTGAAACTCTAGGCTAGGTTCACCATCAGCAAATAACATGTTTAACCCTACTGACCTCACGGGCATAGTTCTCATTGCTAACGAGACTGATACTTACCCTCTCTTATACAAATGTTTATTAGCAGTTATATTTTGATAAGGTACTCAATGCACAGAAAGGATGCCATAATACAGTTTATTTAGGGCTGTCTATTAATCGCAGCTAACTCATGCGATTAACTCAAACAATTAATCACAATTTAAAAAATTAATTGTGATGAATAGCAGTTTTAATCGCACTGCTAAACTATAGAATACCAACTGAAATGTATTAAATAATATTTTTGGATGTTTTTCTACATTTTCAAATATATTGATTTAAATTATAACAGAATACAAGTGTAAAGTGATCACTTTATATTATTTTTATTACAAATATTTGCACTGTAAAATGATAAACAAAAAAATAGTATATTCACCTAATTCAAGTACCATAATGCAATCTCTTTATCATGAAAATGCAACTTATAAATGTAGATTTTTATTTTGTTATATAGCTACATTCAAAAACAAAACAATGTAAAACTTTACAGCCTACAAGTCCACTCAGTCCTACTTCTTATTCAGCCAATCACTAAGACAAACAAGTTTGTTTACGGGAGATAATGCTGCCCACTTCTTATTTACAATGTCACCTGAAAGTGAGAACAGGCATTTGCATGGCACTTTTGTAGCCAGTATTGCAAGGTATTTACGTGCCAGATATGTTAAACAGTCATATGCCCCATCATGCTTCAGCCACCATTCCAGAGAACATGCTTCCACGCTGATGAAACTTGCTAAAAAAAAAAAATGCATTAATTAAATTTTGACTGAACTCCTTGGGGGAGAATACTATGTCTCCTGCTCTTTTACACCCGCATTCTGCCATGTATTTCATATTATAGCAGCCTCGAATGATGACCCAGTACATGTTGTTCGTTTTAAGAACACTTTCACGCAGACTTGACAAAATGCAAAGGCGGCACCAATGTAAGATTTCTAAAGATAGCTACAGCACTCAACCTAAGGTTTAAGAATCTGAAGTGTCTTCCAAAATCTGAGAGGGACGAGGTGTGGAGCATGCTTTCAGAAGTCTTAAAAGAGCAACACTCTGATGCAGAAACTACAGAACTTGAACCACCAAAAAAGAAAATCAACCTTCTGCTGGTGGCATCTGACTCAGATGATGAAAGTGAACATGCGTCGGTCTGCACTGCTTTGGATCGTTATCAAGCAGAACTGGTCATCAGCACAGTGGTTGAAGATGAAGGGACATATGAATCTTTAGCACATCTGGCACATAATTATCTTGTGATGCCGGCTACAACAGTCCCATGCAAATGCCTGTTCTCACTTTCAGGTGACATTGTAAACAAGAAGCAGGCAGCATTATCTCCTGCAAATGTAAACAAACTTGTTTGTCTGAGTGACTGGCTGAACAAGAAGTAGGACTGAGTGGACTTGTAAGGTCTAAGGCTTTACATTGTTTTGTTTTTGTGTGCAGTTACTTTTTTTGTACATAATTCTACATTTGTAAGTTCAACTTTCATGATGAAAAGATTGCATTACAGTACTTGTATGAGGTGAATTGAAAAATAAATTTTCTTTTGTTTTTTTACAACAGAAATATTTATAATCAAAAATAAATATAAAGTGAACACTGTACACTTTGTATTCTGTGCTGTAACTGAAATCAATATACTTGAAAATGTAGAAAAACATCCAAAAATATTTAAATAAATGGTATTCTATTATTCTTTAACAATGCGATTAATTGCAATTAATTTTTTTAATTGCTTGACAGCCCTAATTTATTTAAAAAAAAAAAGATTCGTATACTTAATTTTGGCCTCTGTGTATATTAACTCATTTAATCTCTAATTAACTTTAGGAAGTAAATACAATGACAATTTTGTTTATCAGTACAGTTGAATGGCGCCATGGATAGAAGTAGGAATAGCCCCATTTATACCCAGGCTTGCAGTTTGCTTGCTGGGGACAACATTTGTGAGAAACACTCCCTATGTTATATGGCAGGGGTCTCCAAACTATGGCCCGTGGGCCGGATCCGGCCCGGGGCTTCCATTTGTCCGGCCCTCCAACCAACAGGGGAGAAGCGAACAGCTAAGCAGGCATGCCGAGCAGGCAGAGGGAGGGGCCGATGGCAGCAGCTAACGTGGGGCGGCAGCACAGCTGAGCTGTGCAGAGGGGTGAGTGCCCCCGGGAGCCAGTATCCCCCCAAAAGGGGAACCAACTTAGGGGAGAGTTGCTGCTGCAGCCGCGCAGGCCCAGACCCCTGCCTTAGAGTAAAAATACAAGCCAGATGCTTCATTACATCTCCAATAAATGGAGTAAAGAAGATGGAAATTAACAATTTTATAATGGTTAAATTTTAACTACAGGACTAATAGAACCAAACAGTCCCAACCAACTGAGTAGAGTAGTGTTTTTTTTTTTTAATGATTTTGCATATATCTGCATATATTTAATTTCTTTCACAGTTGCTTCGGCCCTCAAAGCCCCTTCAAAAATCTAATATGGCCCTCAAATCATAAAGTTTAGAGACCCCTGTTATATGGCATAAGATGACATATTTCTTCTCCACGGAAATGACATGAACAGAAGGGCCATAGATGAGTCACCCCATAAATACACTTCTAACTGTGAGCTATTCCTTTACATCCATCCTACCATAATTTAAGCATGGATGCAACTGAGCACTGGCGAGAGTACTGGTGACCCACCAAAGCATCAAAGGAAGAACATACATTTTTGTTGGAATCCCTCATAAATAGGGATATTTTTTAAAAATACTTGAACAAAGCAGTATTTTAAGAACAAGGCTACAGTAATTAAAACCTGAAGGACATTCTTCTCCAGATTGCAAATACTATAGAGATAGAAACATGCTGGGCCTAAGTTATGTGACAACATGCATTTAAACACTGTAAATTTACACACCTGTAGATTTGAAAGGCTGTAGATTTTATACCAGCATTACAATGCCCCAGTTTGCATGTCCTATGCTGTAAACAAGGCAGTGCAATCTCCACAAAAATCTTTCCATTTTTAACTTCACTTCCACATCAAATCTACAAGTTGTGATACCGGTCATATCCCTGCTATTCCCCCCAAACGCCACCTCAAGCTCCACATGTACCCCCTTAAAGTTTTCCCATTCTAGTTGTTCTAGTTGTCTTCCCCACTTGTTCCTATCCCCATGCCCCTCGCCCTTCTAAATTCCTTCATTCTCTTTTCCAGCTCTCCTCTAAGCATGAACTTCTACCTCCCCACGACAACAGTGCACCACTCTATCATCTCTACAGCTGCAAGCACATTGGGGGCTGAACTCCAACTAATGTCCTGAAGCACTCTAGCCACAGACAGCCTCATAAAGGAGACTAACCATGGAGACACAACCAAGAGTGCCTCCCCCACTTGGGAGAAACTAGCAGTTGTTTGGGACCGCACTAGGGTGCGCTCAAAAACAGGAGTCTCCCAGGTTGTATGGGAGACTTAAGAGGTCTGTTGTTAAGCTGCCACATTGCACTAGCCACCTTTTACGTCCTACTTCTGACTTGTTCATAACACTTGCCTGTAAGAACTTACAATCTAGTGATAAACACTCTAGTGATGGGAGTATATAGATACCTAAGTACATTTGACAAGTGAGCAACAAACATGGAAGGATGCGGTAAGGAAGAATAAACATTAAGTTATGTCCATATCTTGAGGACGCAATTAAAGAATGTCTTCTTTATTAAGATATAACTCAGTTCCCATGTGCAACATTGATGAGTTAGTTTTTGAAGGCATTTTAACTAAGACAATGGTCATTTGGCAAAAAGGGAACAAGAGGCCGTTCATGCATAACAAGCAACAGGTAAGGAGGCAAAGAAAGAAGATGAGAGAATTTTGGACATAGTGAAACAGAAGCTTCCAGGCAGATATCGATAGATCAGAGGAAATGCAATATGAGAGAAGGTCTCAAGTTCAGACAGTGCAATTATGAAGGACCTAGAACTCAATACCTGAACTGCGAATTCGGTATGCTGGGAAAAGAGAAACTAGTGAATGAATGTAAAAGACAGAGGTAATATGGACTGAATGACAAGAAGGAGAGTTTTCAGTAACAGTATTTTGAACAGGCTCTATGAAGATAATAGGGGCATCAGGAAGACTGAGAAGAAGGTAGCAGTAACTGAGGCAGAATTGGACTAGACATAAACAAGCAATAACCACAAAGATAGTCAAGAAATAACTCTTATATTAACAGTAATTAACAGCAAAATTAGATCATGATTTAGATGTGGTGAGAGATTTAATATTACTAAAGTCAATTATGCACTTTTTGAAAAACCTGTTCCCAAAACGGAGGCTAACAAAAGCAACAGGAAACCATTTTTTTGGTTAACAATTAGAAATAAAGGAACACGTTTTTAACAAGGAGTATTATTAAGCATTAGAAAAAGTGAAGTGTTGGATTGTTCATCACTTGATGTCTTCAAGTGAAGACTTTTGCCAAACACGAATTAGTGGGCGCACTATAGAGATGATGGGTGAAATGTTAGGAACCATGATATACAGAGAGGTCAGACTAGAGCTATGGGTCCCTTCAGACTTCATGGCCGTACACAACAACTTACAACAACGCTCACACAAAGGTTGTGTTTCCTAAGCAAATGTAGTTACTGTGCAAACGCTCTCCAAGCAGGTTAGGAGTACCTGAGAGGGCCTCAGTTCAGAACTACCTATACCTCACAGCATAGCTAAAGCAGCACCAATCTGGGCGCAGATGGAGGTCAGGCCCCAGTGACATCACAGCACTGACGTCATGCAGGCCCACAGCCCCACACTACTCTCTAGCGAGGATAACTCACCGCACGTGACATCACCACCCCAATGTGACGTCAGCAGGTGACACCATAGCAACGCACCCCACGACAACAGGGGAACACCACCACGTGGTGACCACAAAACGAGCCCGGGGGGGGACCAGCGAGATGACGTCCCACCATCTCATGGTGATGTCATCGGGCCACACCCCGGCGGACGACACGAGCCCGCGCTCGGCTCCCCACCCAGAGTGGCCCGGTGCCGCCGCAGCGCTTGGAGGCAAGCGAGCCCCGCCCGGAAGGAGGAGGGGGCGGGTGGGGCCCGCGGCTAGAAGGATCGGGGTGGGAGGCACTCACCCGCCGCGGTCACCAGCCTCGCGCGCACCCGGAACCGCTCAACCGCCGGCAGCCTCAGGGAAGGGGAGCCACCCCGCCCCCCTCAGGCTGTCAGTGGGCCACTCCGATCACGTGACATGAAGAGGCCGGACGCAGCCCGAGTGCCCATTGGCGGGCAGGGTCCGAATACCGCCTGCGCCCGCCCCCTCCGGGGCAGTTCTGCCAATAGAGAGCGGAGGGGGCGGCGCTAAAGCGCTTCGCAGAGGCCGGGCGGCGCGGGTGAGCGGAGGCGGCAGGAAGGGCCTTAAGCCGCCGGCCTCGCCCCGCCGGCTGCCTCCTCTCACCCGGCCTGCGCAGCGCGCGGCGCCTAGGGCAGCGCGCCCTCCGGGCTGCCGTTCGTTAACCCCTTACGAGCCGTTCGCGGGCCCCGCCTGAGGGGCTCCCGGCCCTCGCCCTCCCCGCCGGGTCGTCCCGCCCGGCGCGGCAGCCGGCCTGGGAGGGGCTCCTGCGAAGTGGCCTCGTTGTCAGAGGTTCCGAGCACCTGTCGCTACTGCTGAAGGCCGCGCGGAGGGACCAGGCGGGAGGAGGCTGAGGGGCTCCCCCTGTTCTCTACAGGCTCAGCCGGAGCCAAGGGCTCGCATCCTGCTTCAGGGACGGGAGCAGGCCCTGCGAGCCCACCCCTCAGGGCTCCTCTTGCCGAGATCCCGCGCTCCCTGCCCTGGAAGCGCTGCGCGTTCATTCAGTGTCCGGTGTCACAGGCAGGCGCTCTCTGCTGTACACATGATTTTTCCCAGTGTTGGGATGTCTGGCTTCTCTTTGTTTGCAGGGGCCTCTCATTAAAAGCCAATAAAAGGAAGTATTTCTTCACACAATGCAGAGTCAACCTGTGGAACTCCTTGCCTGAGGATGAGTTGAAGGCCAAGACCATAACAGCGTTCAAAAAAGAACTAGATAATTTCATGGAGGATAGGTCCATCAATGGCTATTAGCCAGGATGGACAGGGATGGTGTCCCTAGCGTCTGTTTGCCAGAAGCTGGGAATAAGCAAGAGGAGATGGATCACTTGATGATTACCTGTTCTGTTCATTACCTCTCGGGCACCTGGCACTGGCCACTGTCAGACAGGATACTGGGCTAGATGGACCTTTGGTCTGACCCAGTATGGCCATTCTTCTGTTCCTGTCTGGAGGTGGGGAGTCTTCCCTGCTTGATTTGGACAGAAGCTCATTCCACTTTGGGTCCTCTCCATCTCCTGCTTCTCATCAAATTTAATACAGTAGAACCTCTGAGTTAAACTGACCAGTCAACCCCACACCTCATTTGGAACCAAAAGTATGGAATCAGACAGCAGCAGAGACCCCAAAAAAGCAAATACAGTCCAGTACTGTTAAATGTAAACTATTTTTTAAGAAGGGAAAGCAGCATTTTTCTTCTGCATAGTAAAGTTTCAAAGCTGTATTTAATGTTCAGTTGTAAACTTTTGAAAGACTAACTATAATCTTTTGTCAGTTACGAACAATTTTCATTCCCAAGCTGGTCCTAACGCAGAAGTTCTGCTGTAAGTAGATGACCACCTGTCAGCAAAACGTTGAAAATTGCTCTTCCTGGCTGAATTCCCCTAGGTTTGCAGTGCCTAAGCTGACCCTTCAAGCATGGCACACACATTATGTGGGAGCTCTGCCCGTTTTTTTTTTTTTTTTTTTCCCCTTGTGCACAATGCATGTGCTTTTATTAGTCTCAGTTTTCAATACAAGTCTCTGTTCAGGTAATGCCTTTCAAAAGGCTTACCAAGCTGGTTAAGTACTACAAAGGCACTGATTTGTTATGCAGCCTTTCTTCAGAAATTAAGGGCCCCCTGCTTTGTGAAGGGCTCTTATTGTTCAGCAAAAGTGTTCTGCGTTATTCATCTGAGTCTAAGTGAAATTCAGGAGCCAAAAATCTCTGCATGCTTAATCATCTTGTTCACAGAATTTGGGCTTTACCACCAATCCTGGATTAGAAGAGATTAAACGCAGTCCCATGGGTCCTTTTAGGATATATTACTGGGTGATTTGGCTGTCAGCACCTTAAAACCAGGGATGTTGTACAGACACATGGAGAGTGGCCTCTCAGGCCTTAGGGACAGCATGTCTGCAGCCCGTCCTCCTTAAAGAGAAACACATGTTCAGAGTATATGCCTGCCAGCACTTTGCTAGTGGCCAGTTTTAGCCTATGGTTCCTTGTGGTCTCGTACAGCTGTACAAATACACTTTTGTCCACATGCTGACTATCAGGAGCTAGCTGAGCTATCTTGTCTTCTCTTTCATGGGACTGGTGGCTATAGAGTTTTTTGTTTTTTTTTTGGGGGGGGGGGGGGGTTGTTTTTGCTTGCAGAGTACATGCAAAGCTGGTCAAACCCATACCTTGTTGGCAAGTTTATTGTGCACTTTTGCTTGGTTTTAAGCTTCTTAAGATCACTATCACCGCAAGAAGCTTGGCCTCAATCAATTTGATTTGCTTTCAGTTGAATGTGCCCTCCTAAATATTGTTCTACATTGACAGGACATTAGGAATGAAGGGGAAAGGCACTTCAGTGAAGAAGCATTGAACATTACAAACTCTCAGTGAAAAGTGCAGTACACACTCATGTTGCATACGTTTTGCTGCCCCATTCCTAGATTAGTTGGATGGATTTCCGGTGTGTCTGATGCAATACAATATGGCATTCATGTGAGCCGTAACAAATGCACAGAAAGACTGTCCACTTCCTAGACTGTAATATTGGGGAAGGGACAGGATAAAGGACAGTGTTGTTAAAGGGGTAAAGATATTGTTACTGCTTTTTGACCCAGGTGCTTAGCCACTATTCAGGGTCTTGTGGGTTGTTTCCATTAGGAAGAGAAATTGATGATAGACTTAGGTATTTCGAGTCATAGACTTCAAGGACAGAAGGGACTAACATCATCTAGTTGACCTTTTGAGCGTTTCAGGCTACAGAATCTTGCCTATCCACTCATGAATTAGACCCATAACTTCTGGCTGAGTTACTGAAGCCCTCCAATCATGATTTAAACATTTCAAGTTACAAAGAATCCACCATTTACACTAGTTTAAACCTGCAAGTAACCCGTGCTCCATGCTGCAAAGGAAGGGAAAAAAGCTCCAGGGTCTATGTCAAACTGACCCAGAGGAAAATTCCTCTCTAACCCAAATATAGCAGTCAATTGGACCCTGAGCAGTTCAGCAAGACCCACCAGCCAGACTCCTGGGAAAGAATTCTCTGTAGTAACTCAGAACCCTTTCCATCTAATGTCCCATTATCAGCCACTGGGGATGTTTGCTACTCGCAGTCGCAGGTTGCCTATATGCCATTGCAGGCAGTCTCATCATACTATCCCCTTCAGAAACTTAACAAGCTCAGTCTTGAAGACAGTGAGGTTTTTTTGTTCCTGCTGCTCACTTGGAAGGCTGTTGCAGAACTTCACTCCTTTGATGGTTAGAAACCTACATCTAACTTCAAACCTAAACTTGTTGATGGCCAGTTCATATCTTGTGTCTACGTTGGTCCTTAATTTAAATAACTCCTCTCCCTCCCTGGTATTTATCCCTCTGCTATATTTCTAGAAAGCAATCATATCTTCCTCTCAGCCTTCATTTGGTTAGGCAAAACAAGCACTTTGAGTCTCCCCTCATAAGCTAGGTTTTCCATTCCTCTGATCATCCTAGTAGCTCTTCTCTGCACTGTTGCAGTTTCTTAAACACAGGAGACCAGAATTGCTCACCATATTCCAAATGAGTTCTCACCAGTGCCTTGTATCATGGCAATAACACTTCCCTATCTCTACTGGAAATACCTCACCTGATGCATCCTAGGATTGCATTAGCCTTTTTCACAGCCACATCACAATACCACTGAAAGATACATACAATCTGCCCAATATAGCACTGTATAGTTACACCCAATGTAACACTTTTGGGATTTGTAAGTGAAGATTCCTTAAATAAATAAAACTCTTGATTGATTTAGAATTGCTATGGTACATGAAGCCTGTTTTTTATATTTTCATCTGTGCAGTAACTTTTTAACATAAAAGCAAGATGGTTCCATATATATCATTGTGTGTCTACATAAAGCGATAATGCTGTTTCCCTTCATGTTCTGTTATGAACCTGGAATTCTACCTATTAAAACAGCCTATGGATACAATAAACAAGGAAGATTTATTCTGGAAGTAATACATAAACGTCAGTCCTAGTTAAGTCCCATTTGTGTCACTTCAATGTTTCCTGTAGTCAGATGATGGCAGAATCCCCCAGTGCGGGGGAAGCATCACCAAACAAAGCCACTTTTCTCCGCACTTTACAAGAGGGGGCTTTCCAAAGCGGGGGGCATGTATTGGGGCAAGAGGAGCGGGAGCCAATCTGCAATCTGCTCCAGTGATTCTGGACCAATGGGATGGCACTAGGAGGCAACAACATAGGTGGAGGAAAGGGTATGAGCAAGGGTAAAAGAACAGAGGGAAGTCATAGAGGCAACCAGATGCCAACCACCACACGCAGGGAATCAATTTAGGACAACCATAGGGATTTTCATGGGAGTGAGCTTGGGAAAGGACTGAGTAAAATCTGAGCAAGGATATCAGGTTTTAGGCCCATCTGAATCACTACATTCTAGTTGAGGTCCCTTATAACTCAGTTCTAAGGTCAGTGCAAATAAACTGCATGCACTAATAATAGGAACAATAAGTTGCTCATTGGAATGGTCACATCAGAAAGGAGAATGGCACCTGAGCGGGGACTAGAATTCATCATTTCAGATACTGAATTATGATCCCTGCTGAAAGGCAGCCTGATCTTTTCAAGTAGCATAAATAAACCTGCAGTCCTGTCCAGGCAGGGTTGCTGCTTCCTCTGCACGTGAATGGGCCTCTTCCCTTAGATTCAGCCAACTGGAAATACTTTCTCCAGATAATCAATCTTTTTACAGGAGAAGAATACGCCAGCATCCTTTCCTGGATCTGTCTCAATAGCATTCTTTGTACTCTCCGTTGTTCTTTCCTATGCATGTTCCATAACATCTCGAAAGATTCT